TTAGGCCGTCATGAAACCGTTAGATGAGGCGCTCTACGCATAGATCATTCCCTTGTTGCGGAGGGGGTAGAGCAATCGTTGAATCGCTAAACAGCTAGCCATAGGGAAGAGTTTGGCCCATCAAGGCGATTGTAGAGTCTAGCCGCGATGACGTGCGTCCTACGATGCCCTCAGCCGGTCGCCCTCGCTTAGTGACAGAGAGAGTTCGCCGCGGCATAGTTCGGTCGATTACCCTCGAGGAGGCAGAAATCTCCGCTCACGTGGCGAAAATCGTTGAGAAGCAGCACGGCATCACGTTGCATCCTAAGACATTGCGTAACGCTTTGAATGGGAGCCGACTTGTCGCAATCAAGCATCCCAAGAAACCGCGACACTCTCGGAAAAACATACGCGATTGGCTGGAATGGGCGCGTGCCCACGCAGACTGGACGGTTGACGACTAGAAGCGAGTTATCTGTGCGGATGAGACCAAGATCGGTCGTCTTGCATCCGATTGACTCTCATACGCCTGCGTTCACGAAGGGACTGCCCTCCAAAGACACCAAATCAAGCAGACCGTCAAACACGGGGGCGGTTGCTTGATAATTTACGACTGCATATCGTAAAAGGGAGCAGGTTTCATGAGCAAAACATATGGTATGGTGGACGGACTGCTCTCGCTGAGTATACTGCAGGACGATCTCAACAGTACGATTGAGCTTTACCAGCTTACACCCTCAAAAACTATCTTCCAGCACGACAACGACCCGAAGCAGAAGTCGCGTATCGTGCAGGAGTGGCTTTGAGAGTAAGATTCAGGGGTGCTAGAGTGGCCGTCTTCCTCACCCGACCTCAACCCAATGGAGCATTTATGGGCTCATCTCAAGAGGCAGCTGGCCAAGCCTTATAAGCCTCCCACTGGTATGCTGGACCTTTGGGAGCGGGTGCAGGAGAAATGGGAGAAGATCCCGGCGGATGTGTGCACCCACCTGATAGAAAGCATGCCCAGGAGGGTGAGGGCGGTGTCTAAGGCGAAAGGGCGGTGGATTAGGTACTAGTTTGGGGTTGATGTAACTTGCTGCTTGCGCCTGGCAATAATTGTCCACATGTACCAAGATTGTTATTTTCTAGTATTTGTTGTAAACAACATTATACTTGTGTGATGTAAGGCATGGGCGTGGAGCCTTACCCCAACCTACATACACTAGGCACACCAGAAGATTAAGTCTTAATGTCCATGACCCCCTAAAATGGCAAAATTCCTCTAAGTCACAAACATGTGGACAATACTTTCCGTCGCTGTAAGTGCAGCAGCAGAGAACACCTCACGCTCAGTAGAGGTGGGGTCAGCAGGGAGGGGAGCAGGTGCAGGGGGGCGGGGGAGCAAGCCATCAACATGGAAAACCAAGGAGTGCCCATCCTGACGCTGACCAGTGAGGTGACGGCGGAGATCAGACAGCCAGGCGGCGAAGTCAACGGCGTGGCCCTCAGCGTCCAGGCGGAGGACGAAGTCAGCCATCGAACAGAATCAGCGACACAGGGACACAACGGCACAGCTCCACAGGACAGCGACAAGACGCTCCAGCTCGGCAAGCAGACGACAGAAGCCGCAGGAGCCGGACGGGCACGGGGAGTTGCGGGCCGCAGGAGCCGGGCAGGCGTGTCGGGGCCGGGCAGGCAGTAGGAGAGGCCGGGCGGGTGCTGTGGAAAGTACCGAGCGGGCGCTAGGAGGGGCAGGGCGAGCGCGAGGTGGGGCCGGACGAGCGCTAGGTGGGGTTGAGCAGGCGCTAGGTGGGGCCGAGCAGGCGCTAGGTGAGGCGGGGCGAGTGCTAGGTGAGGCCGGGCGGGCCCTAGGTGGGGCCGGGCGAGCGGTAGGTGGGGCCGGGCGGGCCCTAGGTGGGGCCGGGCGAGCGCTAGGTGGGGCCGGGCGAACGCTAGGTGGGGCCGGGCGAGCACTAGGTGGGGCCGGGCGGGCACTAGGTTGGGGCCGAGCGGGCGCTAGGTGGGGCCGGGCGAACGCTAGGTGGGGCTAGGCGGGCACTAGGTGGGGGTCGGGCGGGCGCTAGGTGGGGCCGAGCGGGCACGGTGGGGCTAGGCAAGCGCGGCAGGGCCAGGCGGGCGCAGTGGGGCCAGGCGGGTGCGACAGGGCCACGCGGGCGCGGTGGGGCTAGGAGAGCGCGGCGGGGCCAGGCGGGCGCGGTGGGGCCAGGCGGGCACTACGGGCCTGGAGGGCGCGACGGGGGCCTGGAGGGCGCGACGGGGGCCAGGAGGGCACTACAGGGCCAGGAGGGCGCGACGGGGGCCAGGAGGGCGCGACGGGGCCTGGAGGGTGCGACGGGGGCCAGGAGGGCGCTACGAGGCCAGGCGGGCGCGACGGGGCCAGAAGGGCGCGACGGGGCCTGGTGGCCACGACGGGGGGCCAGGAGGGCACGACGGGGCCAGGAGGGCGCTAAGGGGCGGGCGGGCGCTACAGGCCAAGCGGGCGCTAAGGGCCGGGCCGGGCTGGGTAGGTAGGGGGAGGCGAGAGGCTAGGGCGCGGGCGGAAGCGGGTGGGTGGACCTAACCTACTTGATACCATGTTAGAATACGAGAATGTTTTACTAGGAAGAGAAACCTAGAACATATACCTGTTGGGTTGTACTCACTAGAAGCACACACCTAGTCTAGCCTATAACTTCTACATAGAACATATGTATAAGTTGACACCACCACCCCCTCAGATATCAGGATGTTTTATCTTGAATTCCTGATTTTCAGGATGCTTGTTTAGGGCCAGTCCTGAAAATTCAGTTTAAGGCTCATTTTCACCCTGTAAATTCAGTTTTTATTCGTACTGTAACCCTGAAAATTCAGTATGGTGTGCATGTACCAGCCCTGAGCAGTCAGGATGCCTTCGGGGATGACCCTGATATCAGGAATCTTGCATGCACATGCGCGTCACTGGGTACCCCCCAGTTTTTCGCCCATTCTGCCAAGAATTTCGTGAGAGCACACATTTTCCGTGTATTAGGCTGCCTTAGCTGTCACGACGCGCTGAGTTTGCTGCGTGCGCTGCAGATAACAAATGGAACGAGCCAATAGCGGCTAAGTATACCATCCAGCGCAATACAGCGTTGTTGTACAAGCAGCGTGCTGCTGTCAAAGTGTTTGGCAGCAAACCACGGTTGCATGTGGTTGGCTGGCTGGGAAGCAATGGACCGTGGCCCTGCGACCCGACCATGCAGCCTCTTTCCCCACCTTCCTCCCCAAGCTTCCCTTTCCAGCCATGGTCGAAGTCGACTCTGTAGTTGTTTACACGCTCGTGTTACCGTAGTCACTTCCTCCTGGCAGCTCTATTTCTGCGCAGCCTGTATCCCCCTAGCGTTAGGGGGCACGATGGTTGCGATAGGAAGTGACAATGACGGTGGGGAGGCTCCCGCCGAGCCTGCTACAGCAAACCGCACTAGCGGCGTTACTGGATTAGATTTTCTTTGGAAGAGTCCCCACGTCGCTGCTGTGCTAGATCCCGTTCCTACATCGCGTACCCCCACCACTACATCGCGTTCTCCCGCCGCTCCATTCCCAACACCCGCCCCTAGAGCGCCACCTCATGCTACTGCATCGATGCCTCATACACGCTCAGTAGAGGTCGTGGCAGAGGCATCTCGCCCCGCTGTGGCGTCAACGTCGCGGCGCAGCACTCCGCCAGAGATTTCGCTGACGCATGGATCAACTCGCATCGGCCCACGGTCGAAGAAGTTGGAGCCATCACGACATCGGCAGGCCACGCTCAACTTCGGTCGCACCCATGAGTCAACTGCACCCACGCTCCACGTGGTCCCCCCTGTCATTCCAGAACCTTCTCCCACTCCCGCATCGTCCTCCGAATCCAAGTTTGAAGATATTGCAAAGCGCAAGTATCAAGAGGCTCTTTGGTAGTACAAGAAACGTTGGAGCACTGACTTCCCGTAGCTTGTCCTGTGTCAGACGCATGCAGGTTTTCCGGCTCTGAAGTGCCGCATCTGTGTGGAACACGGTGGCGTGGGCACGAACTACGGCAAGGGAGGGGAGGGGGCGTATGATGTGCAGAATCAGGCCATGCAGAACCACCAGCACACACGTAAGCACAAGCGGGCGATGCGGAAGCAAGTTACCGCCAGTGAGATCGCGGAGGGACAGCTGCGCATGGAGGACATGCCGAGAACGAACAGGGTCCAGCGAGAACGTGTCACGGCACTGCTCGAGATGCTCTTGTTCATTTGTCAGTGTGATGCGCCCATTGAGATGTGGGTCCATCTGGTGCGCCACCTCTCCAAGCGACGAACTCCGGGTTTCCCCAAGCACGGCTATGGGTCCTACTTCACCACGTAAGTCCCTCTGTCTTATTTCTGCAACTCACTGTATGCTCTTGACGGGCACTTAATGACATGCGTGTTGCGTATGCGTCTTGCGCAGGTATGGATTTCAAGAGCTCACCAATTCCACCGCGATCTACATGCAAGCTCGTCAGAGGGAGTATCTTGAGTCCAGCCCTTTCATCGGTCTGAGCTGCGATGAGAGCACGGACAGGGTTTGTGGCAAACACATGATTGTGTTTGCCACGTTCCTTCGAGAGCGCATCATTGTGAGAGGGTTCCTGACCCTTTTACATGTCGACAAGTGTGATGCAGCCTCGTTGGAGGCTTCTCTGGTCCCCTACATTGACAGCATCGGCCTCCCCTTGAACAAAGTGGTGGGCATCAGCACCGACGGTGCAGCCGTGATGGTCGGAGCAACCAATGGCGTCATCGGACGCCTGCGACAGAGAATCCCGCACCTCGTGTCGATACATTGCATTGCGCATCGGTTCGTGACGTAATGATTGCTCATCGTCTCGTATTGAATCTCCGCCACACTTACTCATGCTCTTTATGCTTGTTCCTTTCCTCCCCCCTATCAGGGAAGCTCTGGCAGCAAGGGATGCCGCCATCGCGTTGCTGGAGCTTGGCATCGTCGACGCTATAATCCGAGCACTGGCTGAGCTGCTAGGGCGGTCACACAATTGGCACGCCATGTTCAAGGAGCTGCAGAAGATCTTCACCGCCACAAATTTGGAGATGCAGGGGATATATCTCTTTTGCTGGCTCAGTCAAGGCACATCGATTCTCAGACTGGTTGCAGTTCTTCCCGCCGTCATCGTCCTCCTTCACCTCTACGACAAGCCGATGTACCACATCGTGACGTCTTACAAATTCCACTTCTTCTATACTTCCTGGCTGACATGCACGAGGAGCTGAACATGGTCAACCAACTTTTCCAAAAGCGAGAGGTGCGTTACCCGCCGCGTATATTGACCTCTTGCCCCTAAACCCAGACTTACAGCTTCTGCATGTCTTCTACCCCCCACCTGCCCCCACAGGTGGACCTGACGGGTGTGCAATCTCAGGCCCGACGGACGATCGTCTTCCTTCGTTCGCGCTACATCAACTGCGGGCCCAACTTTGGCGCCACCAGCGCGCGACTGTTTCAGTTTCTGGAGCGCCACAGCAGCAGCCGTGAGGTCATCGTGACTGGAGTCGATGCGGAGGGCATGGAGCGTGTGCATCAGTTTGAACTGCACGAAGAGCCGCTCCCAAAATACACCACTGCCCACGGGGACCAAGCGTCGTGCAACCTCACCTGCTGCTCCTATGCGACGGAGCTCGTCTACAACGTGCAGCTCCGGCTCGGCGATCTGGAACGCCTCAACGGGGCGAAGTTGTGGATGCCTCGCTCCTGGCCGCGGAACACAGAGGCGCGGAATGAGGAGTGTGCTGAACACTTGGATGGAGACGTCGAGCTGTTTCATGCCACCGACCGCGTGGAGATCCTGCCAGGTAAGGTCATCTGCATGTTCGTCCCACTGTATGCATGTGTTGCTGTGCTCTTGGTGTATTTGCTTGAGTTCCTGACGGATTTCTATGTTTTCCGTGAAAATGTTCATGTGAGGTAGGTGTAGACAAGCGCCTGGCGCAGAAAGAGCTTGGTACCCTCCTTCCGGTACTTGCTGGTGTACCAAAGGACGAGCAGCCCTTCCATGCTGGTCTCGCCGCCATCTTCGAGACCAGTGATTGGCCGCGCAGCTACCCCAACCTTGTGCGATTGTGGGTGGCTATGGCGGTGCTTCCCCTAAGCACTGTCGAGTGCGAGGGGATTCTCGCGTCAGAATATCATCAAAAGTTGGAATCGCACGAGTCTCTGCAATGGGAAGCTGAAGGATCTGATGTGTATGAGTTTGCTGGATTATGACATGGACTGGGATAAGGTCATTGACGTGTGGCGTGGCCTCAAGAAACGCAGACCGAGGAGGAGAGCCTTTCAAAAGGAAGTCCGCCCCAAGAAGACGGCCAAGGGCAAGGAGAAGGTGATAGAACTGTTAGAGGAGGAGGAGCGTGAGGTAGAGGAGGACAGCTGTGCTAGCAACGGCTTTAGCTCCGGTGATGATGATGATGTTGGGAACTTCTAGTGTTAGAGCTTTGTATTGCTGTTGCAGTGTTGCTACTGCTGATGCGGCTAAGTGATCTTGATCCACATTTCAGACAATTTTTAAATTTACCCTGAGGCGACAGTTTGAACCTCGAAAACAACCCTGACTTATCAGTGTGAGCCATGGCGTCCAGCCCTGACTGCTGCACGCTTCTTTGGGGGCATGCCCTGAGCCGTCAGGATGCCCAAAATCCTATCTAAGGGCCTGTTACCCATGCACACAACTGCAAATGTCTGCACACTCCCGAGAGCAACCGCAGCAGCAAACACACAACAGCCAGAGCAACACAGTGCTCCCTCAGCGCATCCACTCAGCCGAGTCCACCCAGCCGTCCATGACGGCCGTCGCCTGCAGCACATGCTGGCGATACTCTACAGTAACAACACTTGGAGCAGAGTTTAGGTCAAAGCGAGGGGATGCGCGCTCTAAACGTTCAATGACGGTGGGGTCCCAAATATCGAACAGAATGCGCAGGTCCCTCGGAATGAGCCCGATGGACCGCGGTTAACCGACCAGCATCTCGGTCGCCATATGGCTGAGATGCTGGCAATTGCGCGCATCACTAACGGGCTGCGTAATGGCTGGGGCACGGAGATACCATGCGCCGCATGCGGGGGAGCCCAAAGGTTCCAAAGCGAGGGGATCCTCGCTGCTTGGGTCGCAGATCTCGTCGTCGTTGTCGCACGTGACGAACTAGACTGCATCCATGCCGTCCTCGTCACCCAAGGGCAGCCGCGCCAAATTCTCTGTGACTGGCAGGAACTCGGCGGGCAGGTTATGTTCCTGCTCAGCGACTGTGGTGCCGACCAGGGGGAGTCTCGCGAGCCAGCTGACGGGGAGGATACGCGTCTGCCACCAGCACTTCTGCACGGTCTTGGGCTCGATCGAGAACCATGAGTCCGACAGCCAGGTTACGACCAGCACCATATCGGGCTTGTACTGCAACAGCATCCCCTCGCTCTGAAACTCCTCCCATTCGCGGAACATGTCGAGTGTCTGGAACGTGCGGTACTGAGCCTTCAGCGTCGCGATGAGACCCAGGTCCAGCGGTTGCTGAAGCAGTTAGTATTGGGCGGAAGAAAGACGAGGCGAACGTTACAGAGCGCGCGAGTGCGGAAGCCTAGGATGTCAGCCAACGTGGCGAGCGGAGACAGCAGGTTGTGGCAGCTAGTCTTGTCCATCAAGATACAATGCTTCGCCCTTCGGTGAAACAGCAGGCGTTGATGTGCTCGATGTACTCTGTGAATAACTATGGTGGAGGAGACGAGAAGTACTGTAATGCGGATATCGGCTTTTGGAAAACTCCGGGCATGCACTGCAACAATTGCAACCGAGCGATCATACAATGAAAACTAAAGGACCAAAAGGACGGGGGCGTTAAACTATCAGGCGCTTATCGGGCTAGTCATCCAGCCAGTACCATTGCTGCGCCACACGCACTTCGTCACAGGGTCGAACATCTTCCTGGTGAAGCAACGAGGATTGGCGGTTTTGCTTACGATAAGGGGCTTGAACATCTGCCATCGACGTTGCACATCAACGCGACGGTTATGCGGTCCTTCCGGTTTTTGCCGCCACTCACAGCGAAAGCCATTTTTGGAATCTGGTTCCAAGCGTATCCAGTCTCGTCATAGTTGAAGCAGTCGCGAGGTGCAACACCGAGCAGAGTGAGCAGTTGGGGGCAAGTGGTCTTCGTCGTCATCACTGCGCCCAGGTCCTGGTCGTTAGCTTCCCCCTGCCTGTGCCGCCATTTGTATCCCATCCGCTTCAACGCTTTCTGCACCCAGCCCACGCTAGCCATAAATCCCTCGGGGACGCCGGCGTATGGTGCCATAATCCGGGTACCTTGTTGGATGACGCCGATGGTGATGGGCAGCCCACCCTTTGCCACCCGGCCCAACCATGACTTCAGGCGCTGCTCAAGCAGGGGGTAGAAGGCTGAACGCAGATGTTGATTGGTGGAGCTCTCGGGCCCGAGAGCCTTCCACTTGGCCACCTCCTTCAGGATTTTCCCCACGGTGGTGGGGTCGGGATAGATACCGTATATGGTGAAACACCACCTTGAGAGGTCGCCGAGTCGAAGGTGACAATGAGCTTCAGCATGTCGGCAGATTCCGACCTCATAGCAATCGTCAGCGATGTCCTCCTGAGTAACCTCATTGTGACCACCCGGTTGAGCCCGGCGATGAGGTTGGGATGGTGATTCGAGGCTGATTTGGCGGACGGACTGTAAATACGACCTTTGTCGGCCACGTTTGCCGAGGGGGTACGTAGGCCTGGGAGAGTCAGCGCGCATGCAAAAGTGCCAGGTGGACGGGGGTACTAATGGGCTGTTTGGGATGTCGTGGTCATCCCCACGTTCCATCGTGGTTACATAGCATCGCCCTAGCATGCACGTATTGGCTAACCAATACCAAACACAATTCACAGGGATTTTCCGAGCTCGCTCTCACGGGTTGGTTGGCGAAGCTCGGGTGCTGATATCATGCCCAATTCGGGTGGCGCGCTTCGATGGCCGGTGGCATTAAGCGACCGTCGTGATTGGTCAGTATGTTTACTGCGCTTTTCTTGCGAAATCTAACAGTAGATGTACACCATACTGACGGAGCACATCGTGGTTGATCGTATCGAATACCGAACGTTAGAGTATTATATGGAGTACAATATCATGGACCTAATGGCATATCCGCTGTATGCCTCTGCAACTCAACTGGTTAGGGATTTCGTTTTTCAAGAGTGGTAAACAGCCACCGATTCTTTTCGCTGCCGATTCTTTCCACCGATCCACCAATCAAGTGCAGTAGCTCTGACTGTCCTTTCGCACAGAATTTTTCAGGTTACGGAAATTTCCTTTTCTTTTTCCTTTTTCAGGTACACTTGGCCTCCGGTGCCAACACAGTTGATATCTTTACAAAGGCGCTTGCGCTATGTGCAGCTTGGTCTAGTTCCTGTAGCTTCTCACTTGCGAGGACCCTGAATGTGTACTCCTTTTATATTCTCTTGACTGGCCTTGTGGCTTCTGTGCCTGTGGCTGGACTAGTAGTACCGCCCTGGGTTGCTCTTGTTTTGCTTGTACTCTTGCTGACTGGTCTTCGGACCCTGGCCTCAGAGGCTGGACTAGTAGTGCCACCCTGAGCTGTGTGTCAATTTCTAGGCATTGCCCCTCATCTAGCCTAGGGGGTGTGTTAAACATATTTGTATATGTCATAATAGGCTAGATAGGTGCATGCTCTTAGAGGGTACAATACTTGAACAAAATCAACCTGTATGCCTCATTCTAAAAAACTTTCTACTCTGAGAATCAAGCAAGGCCCACGATTGGTTTTAAGGTACCCTGATTGCTCAATGTCATACTAAAAAAAAAAAAATTGTTTCAGCAGTATTGGATTGCGAAAGTTGGCTATTCCATCAGGGTTAACAAAAAAAAAAAAACGCCGATTTAGCACGAACAACAAGCATTTCGCCTATATCCTAACTACAATAAGATCCTATCGCATCTTGTAGACTATCGCGTCCAATCTGACTTCAACATCTACGAATTCAGCAAAACAAGCTACTATAAGGACCATGCCCACTAGGACACCGCCATGCTAGCATACCTCTCGCAGAGGTAGGAGTTCCTGCAAGTTGCGCTGAAGATTATTCATGGAGCATGAATGGGAAAAACAAATACAACAGCCCAACAAACTCCACTTACTATACCTGACGCACCAGCCGCGCTAGTCTCGGGTCCTGCACGGCGAGCAACAGCCGCGCTAGTCTCAGTTACTGCACGGCGAGCACCAGCCACGCTAGTCTCGTATACTGCACGGCGAGCACCAGTCGCGCTAGTTTCGTTTACTGCATGGCGAGCACCAGACGCGCTAGTCTCATGTCTGGCGGTGGTAGGGGTGGGGATCCCTGCCAGGGGCCAACACGATCAAGAAAAGGGTTAGGTAAATGGCATGTGTAAATTGCACGAAGGATGGTGCTGCTCAAAAAATTAGTCAAACACTTACCAGTGGCAGACGCACATCCTGCACGGCGAAGGGTGGCGCTGGTCTCGGGCATGGCAGTGGCGGAAGAGTCCACCGGCGCGCCCCGATGTGTTAGCCATGGGGCAACACCCACATTCACAGCAGGGTCCTCTGGCGGAGAATCTGGGATGTCATCCGTACACACCCAGATGGGCGCGGGTAGCGTGAAGGTCAGTGGAAGCATGGGTAAAGCAGACGCTAGAGGGTCGATCACCTCTGTTGGTGTGGCTGTTGTAATGGAGACAGCCACTGCTGGCATGGGTGAGGCAGACTTCTGGTGGGGTGCGAAAAACTCTAGCGCGCTACAGGGAGCTGGAGAGGCAATCGAAGATTGCGGAGACTCGTCAGGAGCTGCCGCGTCGCCGTCGATACAGCTTCCCCCAGCGACAACCATGGCGAGAGCTGGCTGGGTGGAAATGGTGCTGCTGGGTAAGGTGAGGACGCGGTTGAGCAGCCTGATAGGCTGCATGCTAGGGTGGGGCAAATGTGAGTGAGCGAGACACGTTTTCCCCAGAGCTATTTGGGCTCTCGTAAAAATTGAGAGAGCCCCAAAGTAGATGCCAGGAGGTTCCTCGGTAGGTTTGGGAGAGTGTCGTATCGCACGACGAAAGGTGAGGCAGGTACGGGCCGCTTGTGGGCAGGATGGGTAGGTTCAGTGCTGGCATCGTAGCGCGATGCCAGCTTCTCTTCTGGCATCGTCACACAATGCTAGCGCTGGCGCTTCCTGATTCCTAACTACAGCTCCCATTGGCTGCCAAGGCAACATTTTGATAACTGCCAATGAGGCTGCACGGCAGCTGCACGATGTTTACAGCGCGACAGAATTTGGTAAGTGTGCGCGCCCCATCCACATGCTGCTGTTCAATCAGCTGCGTGATTGACAAGGGGGGGAGGTAAACAGCTGCCAACCAAAATGAACTTCCTGAAATGGCCTTGTTGTCAGCGTACAG